CTCCCGCTCCTCATGGTAGCGCCGCTGCTGCTCCAGGATCGTCTCCATCTTCCTCGCGCGCCCACCAGCCGGAACCCTCCCTCCTTAGGCCTTAGGTCCTCAAATAGTTAAAATTGGCTTTCATGACAATTAGAATCTCACCTTTCTGTCTCTCAAACTCTTTGCTCTCAAATTTGGGAGAATCCCAGTTCAAGTTCTCTGGGTCACTCCTGAAAGTGGTCATGTTAGACGATGATAAGAGACACGTGTTCTAAGTGTGGTGGCTCATCCTAAATCACTGTACATCTGTGTATATGTCTCTTTTAGATTATCCTGTATTTAATGACGTAATTGGCAAATACACACTCTTGGGGTCCAGTTCTCACCCCTGAGGAAATCTGTTCTGTGGTGGGAGAATTGGGGCACCTGGATTCAAAAATCCCAAGAAAAAGTGTGTGATAAGGAGGAATTTGAAGATGAAGAGGAGAGAAAAAACTTGGCAGATAAGTACAGGTAAAATGTTTCAGTTATAGGGGAAAGAATGATGGAAGGAGGCATCAGGGGCAGAATTCTTTCAGTGACATGCCTTATACCTTGAATTCATTGACTGTTTTTTTTGGGGGGGGGGGAGGAGGGGCGGGGAAAAGTTGTGAGGTAAATGTTTTATAACATTTCCTAAAGCCATAGTCTAACACATGAAGAACTGTTAAAATATATAAGTTTGCTGCACTGAACCCATAATTTTAACAGGTCAGCTGTTTTAACAAGACCTGTTTCAGAGTTCAGAGTTGTTTTATGAAATATGTTTTGGATTAGCACACTGGAATGTGTTCATTTTATAGGTCACTTCTCTACTCTAAATTGCTTCTCGGTGTGATAGATATTTATCCTTTTATCAGGTTTAATCCTTTAACTGGAACTCATTGAACGGTCACCCAAGTAGTTTAGTCTGAAAATTTGACCTGCTTTGTAACAATCACAGTTAGAATCTGATGGTGAATCCAGGGGCGCTGGAACAATTTTTATAGTGGGGGTGCTGAGAGCCATTGAACCAAACTATAAACCCTGTATATGGTGGAAACCATTTCAAGCCTGGGGGTGAGGCAGTACCCCCAGCATTCCTTGTTCCAGCACCTATGCATTCTGAGAGCTAGCTCCTCAGAAATGCTGGAGTAGTGCGTGGCATAGGAGGCTTTAGGTCTTCCTCCCCAAACAGGGCCAAGTAAAGCCCCCAGTAGCGGATAAGATAGCCTATGGGCTTCTCTAAACTAAACCTGGCTGCAGCAGCCCACACAAGTGGCACTTAGCAGCTGGAGATAGCTGGAGCACAGAGAAGCCTCTGCCAAACATACCCTTAAAATGCCACCTATGCCAAGGCCAGGAGCAATAAGTCAGCCCAATGTCACCACCTGGAGATCCCCCTACGCTGAGGGAATCTCTATGTTGCTGGATAAGCTACTTTAAAGTTGGACAAAGCAGCCTTAATGGAGGCCAGGACCTGCCCTGTATATATAGCTGTAGGTCGTAGTATTGTTACTAAAGTAGTACGGCATGTGTATGTACTGTTGTTAGGGTGACCAAATGCCCCGATTTTATAGGGACAGTCCTGATATTTGGGGTTTTGTCTTATATAGATGCCTATTACCCCCACCTCTTGTCCTGATTTTTCACACTTGCTATCTGGTCACCCTAACTGTTGTCTCATGATTTTGTGCTGAGGACAGAGTTAAAAACAACTGGTGTATTTTAACTGTGCATTTCCATACTCTCCATTTTTTATTGTAACCTTAATTTTGAATTTCAAGCTTTCAAACACTTGGTTCTCTTTTATTTTTTCAACTTGTCTATTTTCTAGTAATTTCTCCCCTTCCCTCACCCCCCACACCCCTGCCATTTAAGAGACCGGTAAGGATTTAAAACCTTTACTTCATTTTAATAAAGATTGGTATAACAAAATTTCAGGCCAATAAGGCTAATACAATTTTGAGCTGTGTATGCAGCATCTGCCCCATGGACAAAGCAAAATACTGAAACAGTGACAGTAGTTTCTAGAGAACGGTCCTTCTCTAGATGCCTAACATTCATTTAATCTGTAAATTTTATACTGGATTTTTGTACCCAAAAGGAATTATTCCAATTACAACTTTATGCCTACTGCATTCTGTTTATGAAGTATGACTAAAGTGAAAGGCTCTCTACCTAGCAAATGTTTTTATATAGTAAGTACTAAGAGAGCTAGCTACCCATGTGAAGAATAGCTATAGCTCAGTGTAAATAAATTATGTTATAGAAATTAATGAGGTCTGCTAATTCAGTTTATCCAGATAATAAAATCCTTCAAATAAAATGTATCCATCAAATAGCTTTTTGCCAGATCTGTAAAAAATGTATATTTCTATATGGAGCTAATGAATATCTTGTGACATTAAGGTCATAGGTCAAATCCCAGACCTTATTACAAATCTAGGGAAAATTACCTTTTCACTGACTTGTGGTATGACCTAATAGTCTAGGAGGAGTTCAAGGCTATTTGTTCATTCAGCACGACCAAATTATATATATATATGATACTGATGCAATGAAAACTTTCTTTCATAGATATGGATTTACAGCATGTCTACTGGGATTTTTCATGCAGATCTTGGAATTTCAAAAGGCAATGGAATTGTACAATACATTGATGTGTTTGAAGTGAATGATGACCAGACCACAGTGTGTAAGTTTTATTTTCCTCCATTGGTATTTGACAGCCACAAATGTTGCATCTTTAATGGCTGTAGATGACAAGTGTCAAGTTCTTCCTAATGTATTTCTGCATCAGCTTCTGGGTTAATTCTGCTGGCAATGTGGAAGGAGCTGATTAAAGGTTGTGTTGCACTTCAGCTGAATGAACTGACGCTTCCTCCTAATCACTTGGTTATAAAGAAGGATTTCACTGCCTTTTCTGGAGAAAAACATAATGTCTAACACTAGTTATTATGAGATCTCTCATAAGGGCCCCACATATGATCAGAATGGAGAAGTCTAAATTACCACATATGTTTTCCACATGAATGTGCTCTTTTCCTTAAAGGCGCAGCCACATCCCCAGCAGTGCAGGTCATTCACACACATCTTTCTTTGTAAACTTGTCTCCTGATTTGTTTCAATCCTCCCATGTTTCATTCAATGGCCACGTAGAACAGGACCCTGTGCACTTGAGCCTGGCTTGATTTGCAAGTCTGCTGCCCTATAATGACTGACAAACAGGCCACAGATTACTTCCATTTTTATTACTCGAGTTTAGGGAAATTGAGCATCCTAATTAGGCACAGATGTAAGGTTAAAGTGTAGAACAATCTGGAATGGTTTTCATTTAAGTCTTATTTCTGATTCATTTGGTTCCATAAGAGAGTTGCAATTAAAACAAATATTTTGTAAATGTTGAAAGACAAGTGATGTAGAACTGATTGGATTAAAGCTGAACCCATGTGAATTTTGGTCAATTCAATTAGGAGCTGCTCTCTCAAGCATTCTGTGGAAAACCTCCAATGGTTTTGCAAACTGTATTTGGATTTTCTAGTACAGAACTCTGCATGTGTTGACAGCACTGCATCAGAGCATAATGTGCAAGCGTTCCAAAAAAGTTTCTCCATCTTACAGGATTCATAAGGTCATGTGTACAATGAAACTGCAGATCTAGGCTCATTTGAAGAGTCCCAGACTGTGCACAATACTAGGTGAGAGCATTTCAAGTAAAGCAGATCTGAGTAGACTGCTTCAATATGTTGTTGTTGTTGTTATGTGAGCTGTATCCTAGATGGTGAGCTTTCTAGAGCAGGAACTGTATTTGTATTCCTTGTTTGCCTGATGACCAGTACAAAGGAGTTCTGATCCCGGATTTGGATCATTAGGTGCTACAGTCATAGAATTAATAAGTAATAATAATACTTAATCATTAATAATGTAGCTTATGAAACAATCTTGCAGTTCTGAAGATCCTGGGCCCAATTCCATTCATGTGATTGATGCTCACTCATGCGAGTAGTCTCTAATGTTCAACAAGGACCATTTGCATGAGTGGGGGTTACAAGATTGAACCCAAAATCTGTTTATGCAGGGGTGAAGTTAAGATGAGTTTTTCCAAAAAGACAAATAGAAATACCACATTGTTAGGGCAACTGAAACCTAAATCATATTCTTTTGAAGTTAATACTTCAATGAAGTATAGGATCCTGCGCCTGCTCCCACTTCCATTGAATTACATGGGAATTTTGCATTGATTACAGTAGTAAATGCATCTATCTCAGAGTTTGTATCGAATGTTTTCAATGAGCTTTTGTTCAGACTGTGCTGGCAAAGCAAGATTACTTAGGTCTCCTCCCCTCACTTGATATGTCTATGTTTGAAACTGATGGTCAGACATTCAGAACCTTCTTTTGGAGAAATAATTGTTTCCCTTTCTTCCCAAAGGGTAGTACATTTTCATCAGTAGAAAATCAATTTGTTTTTCTGTGAGATCTCTATCCTCTCCAGTTACACGCTGGATATGTATAATGCCACAATTTTTTAAACTTACATAAAAATGGGCCATTGCTATAACACTGAAGTAGGATGCAAGGACGGGAGTTAATCACAGAATCATGGAACTTGAAAGAAAGAAAAGAACTACTATGTCATCTAGTCCATTCATGGTGGTTCCCAGTGCAGGGCTGATGTAAAGCCACCTTTGCTGCTGCTTTCTGCAAAGGCTCTGTCTGTACTATCTTTGGCTAAGTCTGTGGATTGGTTTTGGCATCTTTAAAAATATTCAGTGCCCTTTCATTATATTCATCTGCAGCAACTTTTTTTCTTTTTAACTTCATAAAGGAAGTTTAAAGAAATAGCTTCACCTGCCATACTTTTCATGTGAAAACAAAACAGATCAGCAACTCCAGGGGGAGAAAAAGACAATACTTTGTGATCTAATAATAATTCAGGCAAAACAGACAATTACTTAGGGGAGAAATAAGTGAGACACAAAGAAACATTCAATAATTTGGTACAGGTGACTATGGATTGAGAGTTGTGAATTTATTATTAATCATTATTATTGTTGTTGTTATTTAACATATATATCA